TGATCACATTGGAGATGGCAGGTCAAATGCTCATGGTTTTCGGACCAGGCTAACCATCACTGCTGTATTAGAGGCTCCATAAGTACAAAAGATGATTATAAATTCTGATCTATTGTGCTCAGAAGATCATGAACCTGACCTCTGTCTGCGAATAGACTTTGCTGATGCATTCTGTTTTTGACATTGGCGGCTGGTGAAGGTTTAAGTTGGTGGAATTTGACTCTACTGGAATTCGACCCTATCCTTGACTTGTTGGACTATGCCCATTCAACCACACATATTAACTCCATTACTCAATGAGACATCATCCATAACAAGTTTAGCTTAATAAAGCAGTATTGGTGTATCGATAATGCCTCTGCAGTCTAACTGGTCTATTCACTGCCATTTAGGAGTTAAATCACTTTGTTTATGCATCTCGTCACACCTCCCTGCATGTGACTTTCACAGATTTACTAAACTCTTCCTTTAAAGTGAGATCTAATGTTTACACTTCCTTATTGCACAGTCCGTCTAATTTTGAATTTTGTATCTCCTGCTCTGTTAATAGTTTGTAAAGCCTTGCAGAAGTCTCCTGTATGTAATAAAAGTCCTGTATGTAATTAAAGTCCAGAGCAGGAGATAAAGTAAGTTAAATTCTGATTGGAAATGAAACCAATTTTCAGCCATGGTAGGTGTGGGTAGGACTAAATAAACAGAAACAAACATGATTTAACACATAAACAGCAGATAATTGAGCAGTGAGACTGCAGGGGTGTGATCTATACACTGAAACTGTTTTATTAGGTTAAAGCGGTTTTGGTGACTATAGTGTCCCTTTAACACGTCAGCTTTACCGAGAATCATTGTGGTTGGCTGGTCTGTTTCAGTCAATCACTTTGATCAATTCATTTCAACTCATTCATTTTACATACAGTCACAAGTCAGGCTTTAGCAAACAAGGCACGTTCTGCCTTACAAAAATCTAGCTGACTATTCAAGATTAAAACAACAAAGATTGAAATCAATGAAAATAAACAGAAAATTCAAACTGTCAATAGAGAAACCTGCCTGGAAAGAATGGGACAGACATTCTTACGCTCCGGGTGTTACAGTTTGTGTGGTTTTAATATCGACTAATTAACCCCCCATTGCAATAAACTGTAAAATATTTGTTTCATTATTGAAGCAGTATGATGCTTGATCTTCCATGGTATAAAAATACCTAGTTATTTGAGAATGCAGAACTATTTGTATTTATTTTATAATAACTGTGACACACAAGGATTTTGGACTCTGTTTATCCTGATTAACCCCTTAGTGACCAGACCGTTTTTCAATTTTC